TGAGGCTGCTGTCAATGTGTTGTTAACACAAACATGTGATGTCCACAGCAGAGTTTTGTACGTCATGTGCTGTCTCCTGCGTGCTCACACCACCCCTCGCCTGAATGTGTCAGACATTTTCCTGTTGTTGCGAACGCATCTGACCCAGACAATATCCTGCTGTGCTTTTCATGTGAAAGGCAAACTCCGGAAAATTGGGTCTGTGGGTTCACGTCTGAAAATAGCTTTAATGACTTTGATGATCCTGTGACTTTTCTTACCAGGTCAAACTTTAGGTCAAATGTGTCTAATACATTGGTTTGTACAAATATTACTATTTTGAGGCAAATTCCACTTAATTCCAATGTTGTAGAACTAAAACTAAATGGAATTCAAAATAAAAGAACTTTCATTGCCAAAGTGACACAACAATCCATGAACTATCTCCAAGTCTCAGTTACACTCACAGTAGAAAACACTTATGCTCTTTCACCTGAATCAATTATTCCACAGCAACACCATCCTTAAGCTTTTTAGCCACCATGAGTCCACTTGAAGTTGCTGCTACCTTGACTATATTGTGCATGAAGAAAAAACATGTATTAATGCAAATAACTCAAAGAAATGCAGCCTCTTTTTTTCTTCTCTGCACATGAAGATACAACCACACCTACATTCAAGACCTCTGGTGTCCACTGCACACCCACGTACTATGACTGCCAAGAATAAAGCAGCGACTGAGCAGACGTCCAAATGAGAATTAAGTCAGAGTCAGCGGAGCTGAAAGCTCTCGTGATAACCACTCTTAGAGTGATTAGACAGGAAAGTGTGGATAATGTCAAAACAAGAAGAAAAGCCTGAGAAACAGAGTTAGAGGAGGGTTATGGGGGAGTGAGAAGGAAAGAAGCAAAAAATGCAGTGAAGAAAGAATCAGTAAGATAGATGAGCAAAGGAATGGCTCTAGGCTGCCCACTGCCATGCCAAAATATGAAGAAACTCTCCTTTGCCAGTTGTGTCTGTTGTTAAACCTCAGCACATGGTTAAGACTAGAATGGGACTCAGAGAGTGCATCATGCCTCCGCCTCAGCCCAACAGTGCCTTTTTAAACCACATTCAAATTCACTAGATCCTGATTTTTATTTGCACCAAATTGCACACACTCATAAATATCATTCCCCTAAACATCCCTGATGATCCCTGAACACTCATTCTCACAATTTGAAAGAAAGCGAGAAAAAAATCCAGAATCTCCACCTTGGCCCAGATCACATCTTTCACATCCTTCTACCGTTGTTTGTGTTAATATATCCAGTAGTGTTTGCGTAATCTTGCTAACTGACAAAAAATGATGAAAACACGACCTCCTCAGCAGAGGAAAAGTCAAACACCCGGCTGCTGTAAAAACATGATAAATTCTTTCTGTTTCTCTGTTTTATTGCGATTAACCAGTCTCCGAGCTGCTTCACAGACCAACAGTCTGTCTCGGCTCAGTTTTACACCTGACACATGTTTCGTACCGCTGCTGATGAGGTTTGAGTTTTAGGGGTTAGTTAATGACTCTGTTGTTCACAGGTGCTGATTTGCGTTGAGCTCTAAAGCTGATTATAGCTGGTTAGATATGTTACAGATGAGCAGATGCCAGCCGTGTGTTTTTACCGTGGCAGAACAACACTTTGAAATCCACAGGTGCTGACATGGGGTCAGTTTTATAGGTGGTTTGATGTCCCACAGGCCAGCAGGTGTTGATCTGTGCTGCTCTCTGCCCTGTGTGGCTGTATTTGAGTCCTGCTACTCAGCTTGATGTGTTGCAGAGTTGTTAGACTTGGTTTTGGTTTTGATAACAGAGCGCAGAAGGGATTTATTGTGGGTTAGTGTGGCTGATACACTGCCAGAATCAATCAGGACCACATGGAGCTTAACTGAAAAGACCTGTTTTAGTCTCACGGCTGTGATATTTGATACGATGAGGAAATCCTGGTGGGCACAAATTCGATTTTTCTTTCAGTCAACAGCGACACTCATGGACTGTGTTGTATTTCCCCTCTAATACAATGTCTGGAGGTTAGCAGCACATTAGGAGAGCGACAAATCAGCTTCCGTCTGTGTCTTAGGGTTGGCATTCTTTATGATAAATCTACTGAAAATAACCTTTGGAGCCCTAAACTCTACATTTTACAATCAGAGCACAACCATCCTGTAAAGTTGACTTTCATTCCTGTGTCTCATTGCCTCCAGGTTTTCATTGCCGTTTGCTTGTCTGTTGCAGGATTACGCAAAAAAAAAAGCACTGCACTGATTTTCTTGATGGAAGGGTGGGACAAGGGCCAAGAAGGAACCCTTTGAATTTTGGCATTTATCTGGTCAAACAGGCTGATCCATTTAAAATTGCGAGATGGGGCATTTTTTGACATATTCACTCCAGTTGAACTTAAGGTGACTGTTGGGCCTTGGCGGTGGTTTGCACTCCATTAAGTGCCCTTCTTCATCTAGGAGTCTACAGTCATGCCAGCATCTCCGTGAGGCTGTTCTTATGGGCACGATGGTCCAATAGTTGCTGAGATAATTTCAGTAGGGACTCAAAGGGGTGGACCAAGAGCTTAGTTGCTGGCTCACCATGTGCAAGAGAGTAGGGTATGAAGCCTTCAGACAGTGATGGACAGCTTTATTTGTCAATTCCTCAGAAGCTTATGAGCCCATTTCCATCCACAGGGGACAAGCCCACTTATTGGTTTTGCAGGGCAGCTGTTGGCCCAGATCATGATAAAAAAGGCTGGTTACATAATTTGCTGGTTTTGATTTGAGCAGAGCAGAACCAGGAGACGCCAAGTACAGGGGATGAGATGGGTATACACAGAAGACTTGTGCCAATAGACAGAGGGCACCGCTGCATGATTTACAGCTCAGCGTGACTGTGAACTGTACTTGAGCCTTGAGCTCTGTCGGTGATAAATGGAAAAGGCTTAGTTGGCCCCAAGCCATCTTAAATCAGCTAAATTGGCTTGTGTGTGCCCATGTGCGTGTCTGTCTATGTGTGTGTGTGTTTGTGTGTGTGTACCTGTGGATTTTCAGGGGATGTGTATAATCAGGTTAATAAGAACAGGAAATGGAGCTTCTCTGAGCGATCGAGAGGGGGTTACAGAGGAAGTGGAGAAATGAACGAGGGAGAAACAGAGGGGATAATATTTCTTGGCCAGGATTCCAATATATGACTCTACAGGCCTGCTTCTCGTGCTGTTTCTCTTCTGGGTCTCTCTGTGTTCACCAGAGGGGGATTGAAACAGTGTAATCTTATATGAAATCTATGTGATCAACATGTAAACACGGCTGGATGATGACTGGCAGCAGTGTGTTTTTATAACTCCTCTGTTCATAAGAAGCAGTGAGAAGGGACTTAACTGATCACATGTAATTTATGCACCTCAGCCTCCTTGAGTCAAGGAGTGGCTCGTCATTCATGCACAGATGGATGTTTGTATCGCTTCGTCTGTATTTCTTCTTCCAAGCATGTCACACAAGAGGATACACATATTCAACAGTTTCAGATTATATGGAAGTTAGGTCCTATTCATGAAAGCCTGAACTGTTCCTCATGAATAATTATAGACTGTGATATGATAGTAAAATACATTTTGAATTGATTAATTATGTTTTCACCTTTAAATATGCATCTAAAAATAGTTAAAACATTTAATTGAAATTAAAACAGCCAATCTGAGATATAGATTGACCCTATACAAATGTATTAATTACATTGTTTAAACCCTTGCGTTATTCTCGTGGCATCCTTTCATCCAAAATTCTCACCCACTCTCACCCACTCCAAGGCTGAGCTCAGCTCCCCGATGGAGAAACCTCATTTGACCCACTTGTATTTATGAGCTTGTTCTGTTCTAAATAAATTCAATGCCAGCTCTGTTGTTCTTGTTTCTGTGCACCCCTGAGCAATGCAAAAAATAGAATAAGGGTTTAATGTCTTATCAAATATTCACTTGCAAATAATAGACCGAAGCTACTAAGTCTTGAATACTGTTTCAGCTAACATGTAAGTAGTATCACCAGAGAGCTTAGCTATAGGAAATTTTATCATATCATCAAGATATGCTGGTACTAGGCAAAAACAGAAGTTCACCAAGTCAAAGGCTTTATTCACTGCTGAATTATTTCAGTCTGGACCAAAGTGGTGGATCAACAGACTGAACAACCAGTATCTCATCAGCTCCACCATCAGTGTGGCTACAGTCCAGACTCCATATGTTACTTCTCTTTTTCATCTGGGTCACACACATTAGCTACAAAGCAAAAGCACAAATAGCTGTTTTTTTATTTGTGTCCCCATGTATGTGTTCTGTGTCTGCACAAGTCTTTGTTGTAATCCCTCTGTTCCTCTACTCCTCTGCACTCCCTCACACATCCTGGAATTTAATAAATTACGCTGGAGGAATTCCCTGGCACAGTAGATATGAAGAGTGTCATTGTGGCGGAGGCATAATGATACATAGATGGATTTATATAGAGCCTCTGTGATATGCTCAGCTCGGTGACGGACGGACACAGACTGTGCAGAGAGCAGAGAGGAAACCATTGTCCTGCAGGTCAGACTGGACTCTGACCAGAGTACTTCACATTAATGCTCCAAATTCCTCGACTGTCCTCCAGAGTGACTTTGTGTGTGTGTGTGTGTGTGTGTGTGTGTGTGTGTGTGTGTGGGAGGGAGAGAGATATGGTTCACATCGTTCATCCCTTATCATATTTATAAAATTGTTGAGTAAACTAATCTTTCATTTCCGTATTGCAGCTTGAATATTTTATAAATATTCATCGAGAATGTTTGTTAATGCATACCTTTATGAGGAAATGAATATACACGTCTCTTATTTCAGGACTGGATTATTTATTGATTTTAATCATCAGATTATTTAATCTAAACTCACACTGAAGAAGTGCCTCGATAAGTTTATTCTGTTTATCAAACAAAGGCCTTTGGCATTCTGTTTAACCTTTTTTTTCTCTTGTCCCTGCAGCGCTGTTGACGCTTGTCTTGTCCTTCAACGTGGACCAGAAGAACGGTCTGTCATTCAGCGGTCCACTGGAGGATATGTTCGGCTACACCGTCCAGCAGTTTGAGAACAGCGAGGGGAAATGGTGAGTGGTGTCATTTGCTGGACATGTTGAGGAAATGAGGGAGGGTATCCAGAGAGAAAAAACATTCATCATCCTTTCCGCACTTTCCTCCTCCTCCTCCCTTTCATTCATTTCTTCTGTAAAGCATCCGCAGCTTCATTTTAATGCACCAACTCTTATTCATGAGTAGTGGACGGAAATCATAGACAGTAAAGATGGCTGACAGAACAGCTCCTCACAAGTGAAGCCATGAAATTTCTCCCTGTGAAAACCATGATAAAATTAGATGGAAGCTTGGAGATAAAGTTGTATAGTAAGATGTATCTTAATTTCCTGTCTGATAATAGCTCAAGCCCAAGCTGTTTAACTGATCCTAGAATATTTTATTGTCCCAAGATGAATCCTCAAATCAGTTTAATTCAACTCTGCAGTCTAACAAAAGCTAATCTACCTGTAAAGTCAATGAAGGGGAGCGCACACACACCAGCTGCTGCTGTAATGACGATCCTTGCCTTTACTGCACTAGCTGTTAAACATAAACTGCCCACTGGAGTATCCACACACTCAGCCTGTAAACACACTGAAACTAAGCATCCGTGGCTGCTTGCTGAATCAGTCTGGGAACATGTGGTTAAAACCCTGTTAAATGTCATTAGAGTGTGTATAATGGCTCGGTGTGTCCACATCCCTTCTTCAGTTACATCCATCTTTACATCTCTTCAACCTGTGGCTGCGCCGTGTCTGATTCTTTCCCACACGGCCGTACCTGCAGTAATGATCTTATCCAGCTCATATGAGATCAGTTACAGCAATTCGCTCGCTGCTAATCAGCTGAACCAGCTGCGACTAACCTGTTCATCGAGAACACTCCGGCTCTGCAGCACCTCCAGATTGCACTATAGAGTGCCCCAGTTCGGAGAAAAGTAATATAGCGGTCTGCGTGATAAGGGTCTGGCTTTAGCTCCCGAAACCTGGGAATCAACATAGGCAAAAGCCAGGGAGAGAGCGGAGGGAGGACATCAGAGATCTTGAGGAGTGAAAGAGAACAGATGAAAGGAGAAAAAAAAAAAAGATGAAACACTTTCTGAAAAATGGAGGAGGGGAGGGAAAATTAGAGATGATGTGTAGCCCTGAGTGTGTGCATGTGGGAGAATATTAGGAAAGAGAAAGATAGTTGTGAGGTGATGTAACACAAAGGTTGCTGCTACTGACCGAGCCGAGAGCGTGTTGTTGTTCCACTTGGTGTCTCGCTTCAGATGACCAGGGCCCATTAGAGTTGAGGAATGTTAATAAGCCTGAATGTTTGAAGGAGGGCAGAATGTCCACTCTTTTTCACATCAGCTTTCTGACAGAGTGACACAGTGTTACGAAACTCACGCATGGACATGGTCGTGTAACACAAGACGGTCATGCACATACTGTACCCGAATAGAACAGAGCTACAGATCTGCAGACAACTGCTGCTCATCATGCTATATTATGTAACGAGGTAAAAATTAAGAGATGTTTGTGAACTATTTTAATTTAATTTGAGTTTTAAAGGGATGTGTCAGGGGTGTCAGGGATATAATAAAATGACAGCCACAGATTAAATTATAGCCACAGATTTATTACCTGTGGTTTGTGTTAAATTTCAAGGATAATTAAGGCAAGTCTAAATTGTTGTAGTCACTGCTTCCAACCTGCCAACTCTTTTTCTGCAATAATATTCAAATTTTGCTTGTTACCGTGATCATAAAACTGTAATGCTGGTGTGTGGGTTTTGCCAGAATTTCAAAATGACCAAACTCCACTACTTTTTGTGTTTATATCAGGGTTCTGATTGGATCACCGCTCTCGGGCCAGCCAGCAAAAAGAACAGGAGACGTCTACAAATGTCCTGTGGGGAAGAAAGACAACACGTGTGTCAAACTGGATCTG